TGCTTTTTTTTTTTTTTTTTTTTTTTTTTGACACCCCCTCCCCTCAACAGTCAGTTCATATCAATGGGACAAATGGAAAGTGACGATTCTGAATCATTTGTGACATGTAAAATGCTACTGTGTAAACAAATGTGCTTCCCTAAGAGAGATGGTATACCGCAAGTCAGGTCTCTCTGCCCCCGGCTTTTGATGAGAGGGTTTAGTTCCTCATAGAGGCGATGCTTAGTAAATAGCATTTGATGAGGCTGCTAATAGTTTGTGGCTTTCCTGTCTCTGGGCATTTGCTGAACTGTGTAGTGAAGAGGGGGACAGAAAAAATCCTTCATTCCCCTGACTCTCCCATTTGGTGGCTCCCTAGATTCGCTCAGATCATTGTCCTTTCTGTTCTTTCCTGTTTTTGAAATTGTGAAAACAAGGTGAGGTTGCTGCACTGGAGTAGTTGGAAAAGAAAAGGAGCCTAATGATGAGCAGGCCCAGGGATTAGGATGGGGAGAGCAGGTGGCAATCTGGTTTATTAAAATTACTCCATTTGGTTCCGATCATATAGAATTGAGGTTCACTGATTATCTTCAGTCTGCTGCTATCATCCTGCTAGAGGCAGTGAGAATGAATTACCAAAAGGTGGGATTAGCAGTAGACGGAAAGAAAAATGGGGTAAAAGGAATTGGAAGTTGTTCTTGATTTCCCTATCTTAGTTTGGATTCTCCCAGACCAGATCCAGAGGCAAGGATTCAAGCATATACAATTTATTTGAGAGGTGCAGGAACCATTGGCAGGAAATTGAGAATGGGCTGGGAAGGAAGAAAGGCCGATAAAGGATTGCTACTCCTGTGGAAGACTGGGGCTCAATCCCACTGGTGGACCCTGGGATTGGTGATGCAGGGTACATATGTCAGAATGATCTGTCTTCCACTCAGGGAAGGGAGCTGAGGTATTTATATACCAACTTCTGGGTGTCAGTGATTAACAGCTGCTCTCATGTGGTGTTCTGGGCACACAGGCAGAATGGTTCTCTGCAGCTTAGGAGAAAGCCCTCAGGCAAAGAGATGCAAATGCTGCAACTGAAAGTCAACCAGTGTGCACTGCTGTGGTAAAGCCAGAGGGATATGGGCTGGGTATCAACAGCATCTGTTATGTCCCCTTAAAACACAACAGAACACCCACTCCTCCCCCAGTATTTCCATATCACTAAATTGCACCACCATTTACTCAGCTTCTTATGCCAAAAGACCTTGGGATCTTCCTTGATGCTTTTTTGCTCTTGCGTCACATTCAGTCATGAACTCCATCTTAAAAATACACTTAGAATTCTGCTTCCTACTATCCCCACCATCATCTTTCATTGAGTTTCTGCAACAGCGTCTTATACACTCTTTCCTCTGATATGGTAGCCAGAGTGATCTTTTTAAACCTGAATCAGATCAGTTTACCCCAGGCCACCAGCTCAAAACTATCCAGTGGCCTCTCATCACTCTTAGAATAAAATCAGAAGTCTTTACCAAGCCCCCAAAGACCCTACATGATCCAGCCTCTGGCTACATCTCTGACTTCAGTTTCCATCTGTTCTCTTTGCTCACAGTGCTCCCACTAGATGGCTGTTCTTGCTGCACTCCTGCCTCCAGGCCTTTGCATCTGCTCTTTCAACATGGAACACTACTCCAGATGCTCATATCACTCTGTCCTCTCAATCACTCAGTCCTCTGCTCAAACGTCACCTCTTTAGGGAAGACTTTTCTTAATACCTTATCTAGAAAAGAGCCTTTTGTCACTCTATCCCTTAATCTGCTTAATTAATTTTTCCATAGCAGTGATCATGACCTGAATAATATTAGTTTATGTTTTATTTGTCTGTTGCCTGACTCTTGCACTAGAATGTAAGTACCATGAATGCACGGACCTTGATTCTCTGCATTGCCCCCAGCTCCTAAAAGAGTGTGACACATAGTAGGCACTGATTGAATGCATGCATTAATAACTGTTTACTGGTCCTGCTGAGAGGACCCATCTGTCAAATTTTTTCAGAACAGACAGCAGAAACTGCAAACCTTGGTTTAATAACTGCTTGGCTGCCTCTTTTCCCAGAGCTGGCTCTAATGAAGAACAAATTCTCTTAACAGAGTCGGTTGAAAGTCCTGGGATTACTTTCAACATGTTCTTTCCTGACGTCCACTGAAAATCTCAACTTGTTCATTTTTCTTTTTGTTTGCCTTTCTGAAAACAGTGGAAGGAAAATTGAGGGAATCAATGTGCTACATTTTATATATGATGTTGGGGACAAAGTGTAATCTTGATTTTTTTTTTAATAAACTAGAATGCAAAGTTGGTTATTTCCCCTAGCGTCTGGCACATAGCATATGCGTACTAAATGTCGAGTGAATTGGCAGTGTCCTCTATTTGATGTTATTAAGCTTTCTTTGTGTGCTAATTGTTCTGTAGAAGGTATTGGATTAGAGAGGCCACACCCTTAAAACTACCAAAGAGTGGGAGGATTTTCTCCATTACTGCCCCCAACCCAGAAAACCCTTAGCCTTATCCATACCCATTCCTTCTCATATGTACCAATCCATGATCCTAAAAATAGTCAGTAGAATCAGTTCTATTTTTTGTGTGTGGTTTAATCTAATCCATTATAAAAGTAATGCAGGTTAATTTTAGAAAGTTTTTAAATTACAGAAAAGTAAAAGAGAAGAAGAAACATAATATGTGGTTCTACTACCCAGAGATAACCACAGTTAATATGTTGGTGTATTTCCTTTCATTGTTTTCTATGTGTATTTTTACATAGATCGAATATACAATTGTATTTCTCTCTTAATATCATAAGCATTTATTCTTGGTATTCAATACTGTGAATATCTCTTTTAATAGTTATGTACTGTTACATTTTCCTGTTTTAGACCATTTAGCTTGCTTTTTATTTTTTTAAATTATAAGCAATGCTGGATAAATATCCCTATAGGTGTATCTTTGCTGGCATTCCTGATTATTTCTTTAGGATAGAGTCCCAGAAATGGTATAACTAGTTCTAAAGGAGACAAACTCTTAATACATTTTGTGAGATTTCATTTTGATTTCTAAAACCGTTCAAATGTGACTTCCATAAAAGAGCTCCAGAAAAGCAGATTGCCTCAAAGAATTTACTTCCAGTTTTGCAACATTTCAGACATAAAGTGTTTTAGCATTCAGTTTAAATGAGCACAGAAATCTTCTGTAGGCTGTCTCCTCTTCAGGCCTCTTCCCTCTCTAATAAAATGCAGCATCGGCGTTATAAAAATCTTTCTTTAGTAAACAACGTCTTTTTCTGTTCTCAAGGATTGTTTTTCTAAGTCTTTCTGGCGGGTATTGAGTTTACACCTAGAACTATGTGTTGTATTTTTGCTTGCCTGTTTATGATATCTTAAGGGTTTAGTTATGCTTTGTGTGTGTGGTTTTTTTTTCATTGCCAAAGGAAGTCCAGATTTCATGGCGGTGAAACCTGCTTTTATAAGTCTGTCTGGGTCTTTCCTGAAAGTCCAGGATTACCTTAGCAGGGACTGTCCTCAAGAACACTGTATGGATAAGGAGTCCCCTCTCCAAGGCTAAGCCATCCTGGAAAGGACCTTGCCAAAGAGAAGTGGTTTATCAATGGAGGGAAACCACACCATTCATAGGTATGAGAGGCCACGCATGCCATCTAGGAGGGTCAGGAAACAGGACGGCCTAGCAAATGATGTCTCAGCCATACTACATAATGTGCTGCATGCAACATTATTGAAAAGAATGAGTCAGACATCTCTATCTGACCTGAAAAGGCATCCATGATATTTTGTTAATTCTGAAAAACAAGATGTAGAAAAACATGTATGGTGCGTTCTCATATTTGTAAGGAAAAAAAAAGGCAAAAACCATGTTTAAGGATTTGGGAGGCTGAGGCAGGCAGATCACCTGAGGTCAGGAGTCCAAGATCAGCCTGGACAATATGGTAAAACCCCAACTTTACTAAAAATACAGAAATTAGCTGGATGTCATGGTGGATGCCTGTAATCCCAGCTACTCGGGAGGCTGAAGCAGAAGAATCACTTGAACCCAGGAGGTAGAGGTTGCAGTGAGCTGAGATCATGTCACTGCACTCCAGCCTGGGCAACAGAGTGAGACTCTGTCTCAAAAAATATCATGTGTAAAGGAACCTTGAATATCTACGTAAACCAAAAGAAATACATAGAAGGACACTTATCAGACTGTTGGTAATTCACTTGTATGTGGAATTGGGCTAGATGAGAATTAGAAACTTTGCTTTATACAACTCTGTTTTATAACCTGTTACAATGAACATGTGTTACTTTTATAACTTAAAGGAGGAAAGCTAAAAAAAAAAAAAAAAAGCACTGGAGAGGGACAGAATAAGAAGGGGAATTTAGGAGCTATTTACGTGGGACCTGTGCAGGTGGGTCGTCAGCCTCTCTGACAAGGCTGATGTGTGTGCCAAGGAAGGTTCCGTCACCCAGAAAAGTGGGACAGAGCTGGCGTGTCCTTACCCTGGCAGCTGCTAGCAAAATCAAATGTGTTGGCATTCACTGGAGATATCACACCTGTAAAGTCTTTTGGGGGAAAAAATGGGAATGATTCAGAGAGAGTCGACAATTGCCATCTGAGGGCTTGAGAGAGGGTGACCAGGAGAGATGGGAGGAACATGCTTTAAAAGCCCCAGAATGGAAAAGATGGATTCTGCCCCTGAATCACAGAGCTCTTCTTAGCCGTCTGTGAGACGGGCCCCAGGCCTTGAACGAGAGACAGTGCCCAAGGCTTTTATTAACCTTCTTCCCTTGGGAGTGAATGCTGAGGTGTGTGTCTTTGAGAAGTGATGGCTCAGAGGCTACACCGCTCTCAAACTTCATTTGCTTTATAATCTATTTGTGAATTAGGGTGTGTTCACCGGTGAATGGATGATTTAGACGATGACAGGTCTGCTGCAAAAATAAAGGGATAATTGAATCTCGAAGTCTATTAAAGACTGTCGTCTCACATCTTACGGGATGACATTTTATTACAGGGGCCAGCTTGGCCCTTGTATTCTGTTTCTTCTCCTCCCTTCCTCCCTTTCTTCATTATCCTTCAAAAATGAGATTTTCCCCTTTGCCAACCAGCAGTTGCAAAAAATCCTCCAAGAAAAGTCAGGATGCCAGAAAGGAGTACCTGGGGGAGGCAGAATTGCATGGCAGTTGGGGACAGGGGCTCCAGAGCTGGCCCCTAACTGTGGCCTTACCTCCTCTGAGCCTCAGTTGCCTTCTCTGTAAAGTGTGGGTGATGAGGTTTACTTTTTAATTGTCGTGAAGATGAGGGAAGGTGATGCTTAGCACAGCGTCTGGTACTTTACAGCAAGCGCCGCGGTCCACTGTTGTAATCAGGACTTTTGTCATTCTCACTTCTGCCACATGTTTGCCCTGTGTCCTTGAGCAAATTGGCTCCTTCCTGTGGCCCCCTTCTTCCTCATCTGCCAACCGAACTCTCCGCAGTTAATAACTCCAGTGACGCTCAAAAAAACAAAAAAGCAGTTGGATAGCAACAACAATCATCAAAAAGACCCGCCCTGATTCCTCAGTCAGATAATGTCATTTCACTCAGGACAGCTCTCAGTGAGTGGGCCTCTCCTCTCAGAAGAGCCTGGAATCTCTCTGCTCCTCAGGGCTGCCAACACTGGCCTTGTTCTGTGGTCTGATCCTCTGGCGACCTCCGTCCGCACACTTCTGAGACTGGCCAGGAGCCCTGGCACACTCACACTGCACAGCCCGCCAAAGCGAAAGGCCCTTTCTTTTGAGCAAATAGCATCATGCACATTGCCATCAAGACAATGAAAGCATTTGCAGTGGCGCGGCATCCAGCTTCTCTCCGTGGCCTTTTGAAACAATTTTGTGACCAGAGAATGGTTAGAGACAAAGGTCTTTCTATCCAATCCGCTCACCAGGCTGGTGTGGGATCGTGGGGGGCCTGCGTCCCTCTTTCCTGGCACCACGTGGATCGCTATCACTGCATTTGTCTCCTCTCTTTGATTAGGACAGGCAGTCAGGCAGGCAGGCAGAGGGTTATATTTCAACTGCCCTTGACTCTGTTTATAATCACAAACATGAAAGGAAGGGAAAGAGATTGAGTTTATAGGACTGGTTCTTTGTGTAGCCTAATTTATCTCTCTCAGGCAGCAGTGGGCTGAGCGAGTTTCCTTTTTGTTTCCAATGCGGGAAACTGAAATATGAATCTATGTTGATGAGAGAATAAAGGAATTGAAAGAGGCATAAATCTTATCTTCTCGCAACCCTAGAAGATCAGCTTCTCGTGAAGAAGGAGATTATACTTCTGTAATTAACTGCTTTGCAGCTCCTGGTGATGGCTCAGAGCTGAATAATAGCACCCAGCCAAGTTGGATAAAAGGCTGGTGGGTGGGCGGGTGTAGCCGCTCATCGTGAACAATGGTCTCAGAGCTTGACAACCTTCCCTAGTGCCCCATGCTCAGAGAGTCCACCCAGGAGATATTTGTTCCCTGTCTATCAACATCCACAGCAGAGAATAAAATTACAGAACAAATAGCTCAAAGAGACCTGTTCCGGTAGCTGCAGTGAGCTGCCTCGAAGGACCAAGCCAGGTTCTACACCTCTCTGTGTTCCAACCAGTGCCCAGGACCTGTTAGGTGCTGACTGAATGTTGGCTGGAAGTGACTGCTTCTCAGCAGCTGTGCTGTCTCAGGAAAGTTGCCTGAGTACTCTGATCTTCAGTGTTAACTGTCTGCACGACACAGGGGGTTCTTAGAGAATTCTTGTGAGGAAGAAATCAGATCATGAGTATAAACAAATTACTTGTTACAGTGCCTGGCGCATGGCAGGTGATCAATAAATGGTAGCCATTAGTACTACATTGTGAAATAAAAATGGATCGTGGACACATAGCCATTATAATAGTCAATATTTATGAGGCTTACCCTATACAGACACTGCATATCAATTAAGGCATGAAAGCTCCACAGCATCCCTATCAGGTAGGCAGGATTCCTTCCTCCCATTTCACTGGTGACAAAACGGGCTCAGAGTGGAGGGACGATCTGCTGTGGTTAGGAGCAGGAATGGAGACTGGCACCCAGGCCTTTCCCTTGTCCCTTTTTCCTTAGCCCTTGGCCCTCAGTACTGGAGCCACAGGTACTCAGCCCCTTGACTCAGTGTACTCCGAAACTCGCCAGCCCCAAGATCAAGCTTCTGAGCCATCTGTGTTTCCTTTTGTCCTTGCTGCTGCATGCTGAAATCTCTAGGAATCCTAAACATTCTTCTTTTGAGATGTTTCCAGAACGCCTGCCTTCTTCAATCCCACCGCCACTCATGACAGTACAGACCCTTGGCTCATGACAACCAGTCCTACATCAAGCGGGCACCCGAGTGGTGTCTCAGGCACAGGTCCTCTTTCTATCACCCCTCACCCCACTCTCCTGTCCTTCGCCCAAAGGGAGCAACAACTACTCCCCCCACATGTTAAGTCAGTTCCATGTTCCTTTCCTGGTATTCAGAGCCCTTTAGCTGACACACCCAAACCCATCTTCCTACTCACAGGGAGTACCTTGGGTCCAGCTGAGCCCGTCTCACTTGCCCTCAGGCAGGCACCTGCAGCCACTCTGGGGGCTCAGTGGATTAGATCCTTGATAAAGACTCGAATGTCCATATTCAGTGCACAGTAAGTGTTAGCAGAGTTATGGAACATAGAGATCATCTCTTCCATTCACCCACCCACTCTACAGATGGAACCTGAAGTTCAGAGAAGCTCAATATCACACAGTGAATGAGTCTCAGAATCAAGCTCAAAGCTAGGCCTTCAAGCTTAGCATTCAGTGTTCTTCCATTAGGCCAATGGGCCATACCACCCTCAGTAATGACTGGCTGTCCATGGCTGAGAAGGGCAATTTATTTAGTACCCAGTCTACATGTGGGCCCTGGGTCTGTGTGGTTCCCCAGAGGGACAGCCTGAAACCTGCTGAGGCTCCGAGTTAGGTGCTGGGCACGGGTGTGATGGGCAGAGGCTGGGTGGTGGCGGCAGCAGGAGTGGGCGTGGGAGATTGAGGGGTAGGGGGATTGCCGCGAATCTCAGCAACTGTAAGACAGAGGAAGATGGGGTTGAATACCAGGCCAATCAGTATGCTGTGGGAGCACAGCAATTAACTTCTCTATTTGGGTGGGAGATGGGGTCCAGGAGGGCTTTAGGGAAGAAGTGGCCTGTGACTCTGAAGAACCAGAAGGACTACGTTCATGGCACCAGGGGCAGGCATTCTGGATGGAGGAGTAGCATGGACGGAGGCAGGGGGGGCAGACAGCCTGGCATGGGCATGGAGAACAGTGCAGCTGCAGCAAGGGAGCCCAGAAAAGCAGCTCCCTTTCCTGGCGCCTGGCCTGCAGCTCTGCCTCTGCATCTGGGCTGACCCACTCAGGCTCTGGGCAAGTCACTTTGCCTTCCTGGACCTCAGTGTCCTTGTATGTGACGTGAGCATCATGAGTTTACCTCTCTCCTAAGGCTATTGTGGGGATTAACCTAAATAGTAAGGCACCAGATAGAGAGCCTGACACATAGTAGGTATTCAACAGAAGACCCAGTGTGGCTGGAGCTCAGGTTATTGGACCATAGGGACAAGCCGGGGTTTGGATAACACTGTTTGTTTTCTTTTGCCTTCCAATGGGCCTTTCTGCTCCTTCCAGGATCTCACCAGCTGGCCTGGGAGGGCTGCTTGCTCACTCACGGTTGCCAAGATGTTTGGCTGTGCCCCCGTCCATAACCGTCCTCTGGTCCTGTCTTCATCCTTGAGCCCTCTCCAGCCTGAACCCAATGGGGGACTTGTGTTCCAGGTCTGCTAACGTTTGCTGGCAGAGCCCATGTTTGGGATCGCGAGCTGTGTTTAGGTAGAAACAGACACTGGAAACAGCTGCTGGCTTCTCTGCTTTGGTAAACAGGGAATAAAGCCCTGCCACCATGGGCTTTGCTGGGGAGGGGGAGCACAAAGCAGGCCCTGCTTACTGTCGCTTTTGGGGAGGGGAAGGCCGTTTCTCTTTAGGGAGTGGGACAGCCCCCTCAGGCTCTGGCCAGGGGTGGGGTGGGATGCGTGGAGGGAATTAGAAACCCTTCTTCTCCCTGGACTTCTAGATGTCTGAAGACTCCATAAGCACTTTCTACAATTTGGTGTCTGAGAGACAGGATCGTTTCTTCAAGCCTCTGTGGATGGACCAGTCAGCAGAGGCGGTTTCCGGCATGTCATTGTACACTGTGTTGATGAGTGATGTCAAACTTACCTTCCCATCAGCTTCACTTGGTTGGTGCTGATTCCCAGGCCCTTCCGAGCTCACTGAATCAGAATCTCTGAGGAAAGGGCCCAGAAGCCTGCATTTTCACAAACTCTTCCGGCGAACCTGGTGCGGGCATTCAGGGAACTAACTACATGTTGGGGACCACTGTCGGGTTTCTAACAGGTTCTCTGGGAAACCAGGGGGAAGGGGCAGTTGGGCCAGCCCAACTCCCCTTAGCATGCACACTCTGTTAGGCTTTTTGAGTCGGACTTGGAAGCAGATGCTTTTAGATGCAGGTCTCCTTAGAAACAGATGCTCTCCCTGTTCTAGAATATTGAATAGAGTAGTTCCCCATCCTTTAGGTGTACCTCATTTGCTGTCCACCCACTCATCCACCTATCCACCCACCCACCCATCCATCCATCCACCCACCCACCCAGCCATCCATCTGTCCACCCATGCTTTCATCCACCCACCCATCCATCCACTCACCCTTTCATCCACCCACCCATCCATCCATCCACGCTTTCATCCACCCACCCACCTATCCATCCACCCACCCACCCACCCACCCATCCATCCACCCACGCTTTCATCCACCCACCCACCTATCCATCCATCCATCCACCCACCCTTTCTTTCATCCACCCACCCACCCACCCTTTCACCCACCCACCGACCCATCCATCCATCCACCCACCCACATGCCACCCATTCATCCATCTACCCATCCTTTCTGGAGTGCCCACCTGCTCTGTATTTGACTCTGGGCTGAGCCTTGGAGACACCAGAACTCTCCATTTAGACAAACAGACACATAAATCATCATAATACAGGGAGATTCTGTTCAGTGATCAATGTCTCGAATAAGTACTGTGGTGGCACAGGCAGATGATGGACTCACTGGCAGGGAGAAGGAATCAGAGGAGGCCTTAGAAGACAGCACTCTGTGAGTGGGCCATACAGGGCGGACAGTTTGCTAGATGGAGAGGGTGAGCCTGAGGGTGTGTAGGAGGGAAGGCCAGTCCTGTGAACTAAATTCTCTCCCATCCACATTCAGAGCAGAGGCTTATCCCCAGGCCCCATGGAGCCCATATTCGGAGGCTCATCTGTAGCTGCAACCTCTAAACTCGGCCCTATCTCCTGACACATCTGAGTGAGAAGGAACCACTCTAGTGTGTGTGTTGCAGGCCCGTGGTGACTGTCTCTTACACAGTACAGTTACTGCAGAATTAACAGGTGAACAGCCATCCAAGTGGAGAGGCACGGGTTGCTTCCAGCCCTAGCTCTGCCGCCAACTCACTGTGGAACTGTGGACAGCTTTGGCCTCAGTTTCTTCATCACTAAGATGGGAGATTTCCTGCCTGGAGTGCAGCCCTGAGACCCTGCCTGCAAGAAACATGTTAGCGGCGACCTTTCTGTCTACGCCAAGCTCATTTATCTCAGCATATCAGCAACACGGCACCTCGCGGTTCAGTGGAT